TGCTGCCTCCATCCCCCCGTCACCTACATTAAGTATGTCTCCTAATGTTATCGCTCCCCAATTTCCCCACCCCCTGCTGTCACTCCCCTAGCCTCCCCACCCGCCAACAGACCCCAGTGTGTGATGTTCCCATGTCCATGTGTTCTCATTGTTCAACACCCACTTATGAGTGAGAACATGCGGCGTTTGGTTTTCTGTTCTTGTGTCAGTTTGCTGAGAATGATGGTTTCCAGATTCATGGCATACATACTGCCACGTACGTTCCATTGTCTAGAGCTCCCTTATGTCTCACCAAGCTGCGAGAGGGCTGGGAAACGCAGTTGAGATGTGCCTAGGAAGAAACTGATTGGGTGACCCCTTAGCCAGTCTCTGCTGCAGTGTGAGTGCCTGTGTGAATGTGCACGTCTGTGTGCAAAGAGAAAATGACTAACAGCTGCAGAGCAGGGAGGAATGGAGGAAGCACTCTCCTTACTCCCATTTCCCTTAGAGCTGAATACTCAGCTGCTTGGAACGTGTGGGGCTGAACACAACTTGCCTCTCCCATTCCAGGTCCTGGATGAAGCCCTCCTCAGACGCCTCCACCTGACCCCCTCCCAGGCTGCCCAGCTGCCCTTGCACCTCCACCTACATCGGCTCCTCCTCCCAGGCACCAGGGCCAGGGACACCCCCATCGAGCTCCTGGCACCCCTGCCCCCTTATTTCTCCAGGACCCTACAGTGCTTGGGGCTCCACTTACAATAGTCCTCCTCTGTCCCTGACCCCTCACACACATACAAAGTAAGGGTGGGGCCTCCGGCCAGGCTCAAGGAGAATGAGGTCAGTGCTCAACATGCAGTCAGGTTTAATCCTGGGCTCTGCAGTCAGACCAGCCCAAGATCATATCCTCGACAGGCCACTTGCTTGCTGTGTGGCATTGGGCAAGTAACTTGACCTCTTTGGACTTGTGATAATAAAAGTTCCTACCTCATGTTATGGTTTTGAAGATTTGCTAAGAAAGTAAATGTTTATTACGGACCGTGCTTTCTGCTGAGTTGACTACGTGATCGTGGCTGGGAGATGTTAAAGAGAGAGAGAGAGAGAGAGAGAGAGAGAGAGAGAGAGAGAGTGTGTGTGTGTGTGTGTGTGTGTGTGTGTGTGTGTGTGTGAAAATACTACCATCTTGGCCAGGGGCAGTGGCTCACACCTGTAATCCCAGCACTTTGGAAGGCCAAGGAGGGCAGATCACTTGAGCCCAGGAGTTTGAGACCAGCTTGGGCAACATGGCGAAACCCCCTCTCTACTAAAAATAGAAAAATGAGTTGGGCATGGTGGCACATGCCTGTAGTTCCAGCTACTTGGGGGGATCACCTGAGCCAGGGATTCAGAAGTTGCAGTGAGCTGAGATTGCACCATGCCACCTCACTCCAACCTGGGCCACAGAGTAAGACCCTGCCTCAAAATAAAATTTACCATTTTAGCCATTTTAAGTGTACAGTCCTGTGGCATTTAGTGTATTCACACTGTTGTGCAACCAGTACCACCATCCATATCCAGAACTTTTTTTTTTTTTTTGAGATGGAGTCTCACTCTGTTGCCCAGGCTGGAGTGCAGTGGCACGATCTCAGCTCACTGCAACCTCCACCTCCCAGGTTCTTGTAATTCTCCTGCCTCCGCCTCCCGAGTAGCTGGGACTAGTGCACACTGCCACGCCCGGCTAATTTTTTATATTTTAGTAGAGACAGGGTTTCACCATGTTGCCAGGCTGGTCTTGAACTCCTGAGCTCAGGCAATCCTCCCACCTTGGCCTCCCAAAGTGCTGGGATTAGAGGTGTGAGCCACCGTGCCCAGCCCAGAACTTTTTAATCTTATAAAAAAACTTTGGCTGGGTGTTGTGGCTCCTGTCTGTAATCCCAGCACTTTGGGAGGCTGAGGTGGGCAGATCCCTTGAAGTCAGCAGTTCAAGACCAGCCTGGCCAACATAGTGAAACCCGTCTCTATTAAAAATACAAAATTAGCTAGGCACAGTGGCAGGGCCTGTAATCGCAGCTACTAGGGAGGCTGATGCATGAGAATCACTTGAACTTGGGAATTGGAGGTTGTAGTGATTATGAGATGGCGCCACTGCACTCTAGCCTGGGTGATAGTGAGACTGTCTCAGGGCTGGAAGTGGTGGCTCATGCCTGTAATCCCAGCACTTTGGGAGGCCAAAGCAGGTGGATCACCCGAGCTCAGGAGTTCGAGACCAGCCTGGTGAACATAGTGAAATCCTGTCTCTACTAAAAATGCAAAAATTAGTTGGGTATGGTGGCAGGTGCCTATAACGCCAGTTATTCAGAAGGCTGAGGCAGGAGAGTCACTTGAATCCGGGAGGCAGGTTACAGTGAACCCAGCATGTGCCGCTGCACTCCAGCCTGGGTGACAGAGTGAGACTCCGCCTCAAAAATAAAATAAAACTTAGTCCCCATTAAACACTAATTCCCCCTCCCCCCAGCTCCTGTTAGCCACCATTCTGCTTCTGTCTCTATGAAGCTGAGTATTCTAGGAACCTCATAAGTGGAGATGTCAGATCTTTTTCTTTAAAAAATTGTGAAATAGGGCCAGGCATGGTGGCTCACGCCTGTAATCCCAACACTTTGGGAGGCCCAGGTGGGTGGATCATGAGGTCAGGAGTTTGAGACCAGCCTGGCCAACATGGTGAAACCTCGTCTCTACTAAAAATGCAAAAATTAGCTGCACGTGGTGACAAGCACCTGTAATCCCAGCTACTTGAGAGGCTGAATTGCTTGAATCCAGGAGACAGAGGCTGCAGTGAGACAAGATTGCACCACTGCACTCCAGCCTGGGTGACACAGTGAGATTCCATCTCAAAAATAAAAATAAAAAATTGTGAAGTATAGCAAACATCAAAGCATGCCTAAAACATTTCTGTGATTTAAAGAATACCATCATGGGGTATGGTAGCTCATGCCTATAATCACAGCACTTTGGGAGGCCAAGATGGGAGGATCAGTTGAACACAGCAATTCAAAACCAGCTTGGACAACACGGTGAAAACTTGTCTGTACAAAAAATTAGTCAGACATAGTGGTGTACACCTGTAGTCCCAGCTACCCGGGAGGCTGAGGTGGGAGGATCACCTGAGCCCAGATGATTGAGGCTGCAGTGAGCCGTGATCTGCCCTCCATCCTGGGCAACAGAGTGAGACCCTGTCTCAAAAGAAAACACAGGCTGAGCATAGTGGCTCATGCCTGTAATCCCAGCAATTTGGGAGGCCAAGGTGGACAGATCACCTGAGGTCAGGAGTTTTGAGCCCAGCCCGGCCAACATGGTGAAACTCCGTTTCTACTAAAAATACAAAAATTAGCCCAGCGTGGTGGTGGACATCTGTAATCCCAGCTACTCAGGAGGCTGAGGCAGGAGAATCTCTTGAATCCAGGAGACGGAGGTTGCAGTGAGCCAAGATTGTGCCACTGTACTCCAGCCTGGGTGACAAGAATGAAACTCCATCTCAAAGTAAAAAAAAAAAAAACAAAAAACACCATCATCCCCTCAGTGTCCATACAGGATTGGTTCCAGGATCCGCTTCAGATAACAAAATCTGATACCAAAATCTGTGGATGATGAAATCACTTGTATAAAATGGCACAGTATTTACATATAGTCTACATGCATCCTCCTTTAAATCATTTCTGTATTACGTATGACACCTAATGCAATGTAAATATATAAACAGTTGTTATACTGTATTGTTTTCATTTGTATTTTTTGTTGTATCATTTTTTATTTATTTTTTCATCTGTGGTTGGTCGGGTTCACAGATGTGGCACTTTTGAATAGGGAGATACAATTATAAAGTAGTACCCATAGTACCCCCCCTTGGGGCATGAAATACAGGTACCCACTCCTTTTTGTGTAGAGCAGCAATTATCAACCCTGGCCCTGTATTAGAATCCCCCTCCCCCAATCCCTCAGGAAGCTTCAATCCCCAATTCTGCACTGCAAAGATTCTGGCATAATTGGCCTGGGGTGGCTACCTGGCCACTGATCTTTTAAAAAACTACCTGAGGCCAGGCACGGTGGTTCATGCCTGTGATCCCAGCACTTTGAGAAGCCAAGGTGGGTGGATCACAAGGTCAGAAGATGAAGACCATCCTGGCTAACACGGTGAAACCCCATATCAGCCAAAAATATGAAAAATTAGCTGGGTGTGGTGGCACGCACCTGTAGTCCCAGCTACTAGGGAGGCTGAGGCAGAAGAATTGCTTAAATCTGGGAGGCGGAGGTTGCAGTGAACCGAGATCACGCCGCTGCACTCCAGCCTGGGCAACAGAGTGAGACAGAGTCTCACTCCGTCTCAAAAAAAAAAAATCCTACCTGAAGGGGTTCTCCTGTTCAGTTGAGGTTGGAAATGACTGCCCTGGTTTGGGAGAATTACTTGCTTTTCAAGTTTACCGCATATACGTGCATCCGTAACTAGTGTATTTCATTTTCCCTTATTTGGAAGTTTCTGGAAGGAACTACACTGTACATATTCTTTCATGATTTGCTCTTGCTCCTAATTGTAAAGTGCATCTGGGTTGTATAGCATGTGGTTTGAATTCCAGAGTTGGAATAGACCAGTTAGGTCATTTGGCTGTTACCACAATGCTGCTCCTGGTGCAGTTACACAGGGATTTCCGGATTAGAGTGTCTGGCCTGGTGTGTTCATTTGCTAGAGCTGCCATTAACACAGCCTGAGTGGCTTAAAACAACAAATGTATTAATAGTCTCTTGGTTCCAAAGGCCAGAAGTCCCAGCACAACGTCACTCTGAAGCCTTGAGGGTTAGAATCCTTTCCAGATTCTCAGATGGCTCCAGGTGTCCCTTGGCTTGTGGCTGCATCACACCAATCTCTGCTTCCATTTTTCTTTCTTTTTTAAATTTTATTTTTTGAGACAAGAGTCTTGCTCTTGTTGCCCAGGCTGTAAGTGCAGTGGCACAATCTCGGCTCACTGCAACCTCCACCTCCCAGGTTCAAGCAATTCTCCTGCCTCAGCCTCCCAAGTAGCTGGGATTACAGGTGTACACCACAAGCCCCAGCTAATTTTTGTATTTTTAGTAGAGACGGGGTTTCACCATGTTGGCCAGGCTGGTCTTGAACTCCTGACCCCAAGAGATCTGCCCACCTTTGCCTCCCAAAGTACTGGGATTAGAAACCTAAACCACTGTGCCCTGCCTGCTTCCATCTTCACATGGCTTTCTCATGTCTGTCTGCTCTTCTGCCTTTTTTTTTTTTTTTTTTTTTTGAGACAGAGTCTCACTCTGTCGCCCAGGCTGGAGTGTAGTGGTGTGAGCATAGCTCACTACAGCCTTGAACTCCTGCCTCACCTGAGTAGCTGGGACTACAAGCACACACCACACCCAGCTGATCCTTTTAAAAATTGTAGGCCGGGCATGGTGGCTCACACCTGTAATCCCAGCATTTTGGGAGGACGAGGAGGTGGATCTCAAGGTCAGGAGTTTGAGAGCAGCCTGGCCAACATGATGAAACCCCTTCTCTACTAAAAGTACAAAAATTAGCCAGGCATGGTGGCACACACCTGTA